CCCATTTCTGGGTTTTTCTGTTTATGTGATACTGAGGAATTGAACCCAGGGCTTCATGCATGCTAGGCAAGCACTCTACCACTAAGCCACATTCCCAGCCCCTCTCACATTTTAAATTCACTAGGTAACTAAGTTAAATATACCTAAATAGTGCTGAAGGCAGGCGATGGATTGGTGGGACAGCAAGCCCAGAGCAACTTCACAGAAGGGAAGGCTGTCACATCCCCATCTCTTTGCTGATCCCAAAAGCACACTTAGTGTGTGGCCTTCCACATCTATAACATCCATTCTCATCCTCTATGTCATCGTCTGGCCTCTTTTGTTCCTTATCCCTGGTCCCACCTTGAAGTTCATTTCCTAGGAGAGCTCATCTGGGTAGGGATGAGAGCAAGTAGGGGCAGGTGCAGCCAGAGGGATAGGATTTGAGAAACCCAAGGACACTGGTGTGACAGGACAGATAAAGTCTCTCCTTCAGGGGCTTAGGGTATTCCTGGAGGCTGGTTCTGTGAAGGGAGTACAGTCCCAAGAGTTATCTGAGTAGCTGACAGAGGAGCTTGGGGCAATGGGTAAGAGTCATGTTGAGTAGGACCCCACAGTGAGGAACAGGAAGACAGTGAGGAAATACATGGTGAAGGCCTGATGGCTATAATCTCTGGCAATTTTAACTGATACACTAGATTAGAATGCCATTTCAGAACATTATGTACACAGGCAACAAATTAAACACATGGTTCTATTTGATGGCTATAGAGGTAAGATTTAAAAAGAGAAGAACTGCAGAAAACCCAGGAAACTGGGGACTTGCTCTGTGCCCTCAGATTCCACTCTCATCTATGAGTACAGCTACTACGTTGGTTCCCTGAAGACAAAGAAAAGTTGGAACAAGTATCTCTCACACTGTCATGCCCAAGGTAGTCCCAGGATTCTCTGAGAATACTAAAATAGTATTTTCTGGAATATTTCAATACACTGAACAATAACATGACAGTAACTTTCAAACAAAGCTTTGAAAACTTTGTTCCCTGAAGAAAAGATACTGTGTTTTGATAGGAACACTCTCTTTGGTCCACTTAGCAAATACTTATTCCTTTATAACTTAAAGTCATCAACTGTCAGGTGCCGATGGCTCATGACTATAGCTCTCAAGCTACTCTCCTACTGTAATCCTAGGCTGAGATCTGAGGATTGTGGTTCCAAGCCAGCCTGGGCAGACAAATGAGACTCTTATCTCCAAATAACTACCAAAAAGCCAAAAGTGAAGGTGTGGCTCAAGTGGTAAAGCACTCTCTTTGAATAGCAAGACTATGAGGCAAAAATGTTCAAGTCTCAGTATAGAGACACACACAAACACACACACACAGCGCATGATAAAATAACTGGACTCACGTTGTAGTATATTTCGTTGTTCTAGTTCTTCTGGTGTTGGTCTTTGACTCAGTCGCCTAAAAAAGGAGACACATATATCATTCCTGTTAAACCTCCCAATCACATTTATAACTATTTTGGACCATAGTTTACATTAAGCCATATACAAGAAATTACTTCATTTTCAAGCAATTTTATTTCCTTATTTGTTTAAAAGTAATTTTCACATTGAAAGGAATTTTACATGCAAACAGGAAGCTAGGAATCTAGCTCTGACATGAAGAGGTCACCACAAAAAAAGTTCAGATAAACTCTAAGTGTCCTCATCTGTAAAATGAAGGTGGTTCACATAGAAGTATTGTTGTGACTTGGGGGGCATAGGTTGTGAGTGTGGGGTTTAGCATGTATAAGGCCCTAGGTTTTGAGACCTGGCACAAACTCTCCAAAACAATAAAACTCAGATTCCTAAGGCATATTAGAAATTCTGGGTCAATAAATCATGATGTGGAATGAGATTTTATATATGAATATATGAATTAATATTACATATACTGTGTATGTAGGTATTTTATTTATTTATTTTGTTTTTGTTTTTTTTGGGTCCAGTCATGGGGCCTGAACTCTGGGCCTGGGCGCTATCCCTCAGCTCTTCAGCTCAAGGCTAGCGCTCTACCACTTGAGCCACAGCACCACTTCCGGCCTTTTTTCTTTTTGCTTATGTGGTGCTGAGGAATCGAACCCAGGGTCTCATGCATGCAAGGCAAGTGCTCTACCACTGAGCCACCTTCCCAGACGCTATTTTAGTTGTTTTTGAGATCAAGTCTATGTTGACCAGGTTGGCTATTTCCTATCTCAACTTCCCAAGTAACTAGGACTACAGGTGTGTAACACCTGGAGATTGAACCCAAGGCCTCAAGTATGCTAGGCAAGTACTCTACCACATAAACTCTGCCCTTAGCACCTCTCTTTCCCTTTTCTTCCTTTTCTCTCCTTCATTCTCTCTTTCTTTCCCTCCCTTCCTTCCTTTTGCACTTTGCTTCTGAAACAGGACAGGGTTCCCTAACTTTGCCTGGGCTGACCTAAATTTTCCATCCTCCTGTTTCTCCTCCCAAGTAGCAGGGATTAAAGTCTTATGTCACCAAATCCTGCTTGCTCTCTAGAGTTTTTAAACCAGTGCCTTATGAGGCACTGGAATTTAAGACCATCTCTTTCTAGGTGATACTTTGTACTTATATTTCAGTTTTCTCTGTGAAGTATTTGATGAAAGTTTCTCATCTCATCAACAATTGTGAGGTGTTAATTCATCAATGATAACATCATTTCTGGACTCAGAAAGATATTCATTTCTTTAATTTATACTTCTCAGACAGTGTTTCAGCTACCTACTAATTATTCAACCCTTGTTGGTTGCATAGAGAACTCCTAGTCCCATTCTGTACATAATTTACTTATCTTTTTCTTTTGGTAATACTGGGGTCTGAACTGAGGGCCTCAGGCTTGCTAAGCAGGCATTTGAGCCACTCCTCATCCCCTTTAAGTATTGGTTATTTTCACCATAGGGTCTTCACTTTATGCCTAGGTTAGCTTAGATTATGATCTTACTATTGGTGCTTCCTTTTTTTTTTTTTTTGGTCAGTTGTGGGGCTTGAACTCTGGGCTTGGGTGCTATCCCTGAGCTCTTCAGCTCAAGGCAAGTGCTCTATTGCTTAAGCCACAGTGTCATTTCGGTTTTCTAGTGGTTTATGGAGATAAGAGTCTCACGGACTTTCCTGCCTAGGCTGGCTTTGAACCGTGATCCTCAGATCTCAGCCTTCTGAATAGCTAGGATTACAGACTTGAGCCACCAGCACCTGGCTTTGTACTTCTTTTTGCTACAGGAATGACATGACAGGCATGCCCAGCCATGGACTGAGATTAATGTTAATGGCCTGGCTGCTCTCAAACCAGTGTCTGATCTGCTTCCCATGTGTCTAGGAGTCCTAGTTTGAGCCACCTCATATGCAGCTTCTTTTTATATTTTTTTCTTTTCAAAGACTTTTCATCTTTTCAGAACAAAGAACTTTTCCTCTTTTCCTTTACAAATGATCTTTAAAAATACTGGATTTGGGGCTGAGAAGGTGGCTCAGTGGTAGAGTGCTTGCTTTGCATGCATGAGGCCCTGGGTTCGATTCCTCAGCACCACATAAACAGAAAAAGCCAGAAGTGGAGCTGTGGCTCAAGTGGCAGAATGCTAGCCTTGAGCTGAAGAGCTGAGGGACAGCGCCCAGGCCCAGAGTTCAGGGCCCATGACTGGCAAAAAAAAAAAAAAAAATTAAAAATAATGGATTTATGAAGGCATAACTCATATAAAAATGACAAGTATGTATAATTATGCATATATTAGACACATGATTTGATTTTTTCATTATTTTGGTTTTATGAGACAGTCTTTTAATTGTGAAAATACTATATAGAAGGGTTACAATTACATGGGCAAAATAATGAGTACATGTCTTATCAAGCATTGTTGCCTCCTCCTTTGTTTCCCCTTCCTATCCCCCCCTCCCCCACCCAGACAGAGTCTTGGCATGTAACCCAGGCTGATCTTGAACTTGTGATATTCCTGCCTCACTCTCTTTAATGCTGTGTGTGCTACCACGCCTGTCAATAAATTTTAACACACTCGGGGAAACAATCATGACAATCAAGAGAATGAATAGTATCCTGTATTTGTTTTCTATGACTACTCTGAAAAAATCAGCAGGAGCCTTTTAAAAGCAGAAATTTGGACACAAAGTGTGGCTCATAGATACAATGACTATCAAGCAAGTGTGAAGCCCTGATTTCAAACTGTACTCTCAGAAACAAAACAAAAGAAACATAACACAAGCTGGGTGCTGGTTAATCCTAGCTACTCAGTAGGCTGAGATCTGGAGATCATGGTTCAAGAGAGTCTAGACAAAAAATAAAAATAGAAAAAAGAAAGTCCAGGTAAGTCCATGATACTTTTTTTTTTTTTGGTGGTCGGTTGTTGGTCTTGAACTCTTGGCCCTTGTGCTGTCCCTCAGCTAATCTGCTCAATTCTAGCATTCTACCCTTTGAGCCACAGAGCCACTTTCAGTTTTCTGATGGTTTACTGGAGATAAGAGTTTCACAAACTTTCCTGCCTGGGCTGGCTTTGAACCGCAATCCTCCTACTCAGCCTCCTGAGTAGCTAGAATTACAGGTGTGAGCCACCGGCGCCCAGCTTAAGGCAGGCTCTTATCTTCAATTAACCACCAGAAAACTGGAAGTGGCACTGTGGCTTAAGTGGTAGAGTGCTGGCCTTGAGCTGAAAAGTTGATGGACAGTGCCCAGGCCCCAAATTCAAGCCCTATGACTGACAAAAAAAAAAAGAAGAGGTTATATTTAACATTTACCGGGAATAACAATCAGAATTCAACTTTGCAGAGAATGTAATTCTTCGCACAACAAACCCTATCGTATTTTCTCATGTCTTTAAATTCATCCTCCATAACTTAAGGTGTACATTGATTTTTTTCCCCCCTTGGGGTTTGAACTCAGAGCCTAGGTGCTGTCCTTGAGCTTTTTTGCCCAAGGCTAGCAGTTTACCACTTGGGCCACAGCTCCCTCCACTCTGGCTTTTTGCTGGTTAACTGAGACAAGAGACTCAAGGGAGGTGGGCACTGGTGGCTCACACCTGTAATCCTTCTGCTTAGGAGGCTGAGATCTGAAGATCCAGGTTCAAAGCCAGCCCAGGCAGGAAAGACCGTAAGACTCTTATCTCCAATAAACCACCAGAAAACCAGAAGTGGCGCTGTGGCTTAAGTGGTAGAGTGCTCGCCTTGGGCTGAAGAGCTGAGGGACAGAGCCCAAGCCTAGAGTTCAAGCCCCATAATGGACAAAAAAAAAAAAAAGGCTCCAGGGGCTGGGAATGTGGCTTAGTGGTAGACTGCCTGCCTAGCATGGATGAAGCCCTGGGTTCAATTCCTCAGTACCACATAAACAGAAAAAGCTGGAAGTGGCACTGTGGCACAAGTGGTAGAGTTCTAGCCTTGAACAGAAGTTCAGGGACAGTGCCCAGCCCCTGAGTTGAAGCCCGAGGACTGCAAAAAAAAAAAAAAGCCTCAGAGGCTTTTCTGCCTGTCTTTGAACAGAGATCTTCAGATCTCAGCATTGTGAATAGCTAGGATTACAGGTATGAGCCATTTGTACCCAGCTTCACTGATCTATCTCCTTTTTTTTTTTTTGTCGGTCATGGGGCTTGAACTCTGGGCTTGGGCACTGTTCCTGAGCTTCTGCTCAAGGCTAGCACTCTACCACTTGTGCCACAGTGCCACTTCCAGCCTTTTCTGTTTATGTGGTACTGAGAAATTGAACCCAGGGCTTCATCCATGCTAGGCAAGCAGTCTACCACTAAGCCACTTTCCCAGCCCCTTGAGTAGCTAGGATTATATGCATGAGCCACCAGCGCCTGGCTTCCAATATTTTTTTTAATTCAAAGTAATTATTGAGATTCACCAAGTTGTGACTTTGTAATTAGTTCTTTTTATTCTTGAGTACTGTTTTCTTGCATAAATATGCCACAAATTACCCATTTACCTATTGACAAATATTTGAGCTGCTTCCAGTTTTGCCTATAGCAGTAAATGGACTGGCTGGATCACATATATACCTATGTTCAATTTTGAAAGAAACTGCCACTCAGAGCTTTATGTTCTTCCTCATCTTTCTTGTTCATGGGTGGTGCTCTACCACTTTAGCCTTGCTTTCTAGCATTTTGCTGGCTAAGTGGAAATGGAGTCTCACAGACTTTTTTGCTTTCTGCCTGGGCTTGTTTTAAGACTTGATTCTCCATGTCTCAGCCTTCTGAGCAGCTAGGTTTATAGGCATGAGTTACCACATACTCTACATCATAATTTTTTTTCTTTTTTTTTTTTGGGTCCGATCGTGGGGCCTGAACTCTGGGCCTGGGTGCTGTCCCTCAGCTCTTCAGCTCAAGGCTAGCGCTCTACCACTTGAGCCACAGCACTATTTCTGGCTTTTTTCTTTTTGCTTATGTGGTGCTGAGGAATCGAACCCACGGCCTCATGCATGC